GAACACAGTGGCGCCCTGCTTTGCAATTGTCAAAGGATTTTACTCTTTGCCTTTTGCATGCCCTGGGAAGCTCAGCTTTGTCTAATATTTTGTAAGCACGTTATTATTTAGTCAGCATTTGACTCTAGTTGTGGTGGGGAAATTGGCAAACAAGCAGGACTTGCAGTGTGGTCTGAAATCTGCCAGGCTGCAGCTGTGCTGCTCGCGAGCTGCCTCACTCTGGCCGTCCCGATGTCACCTGGTGAGCAAATGGCCTGGATGTCGTCTTACACTAAATATGCAATAGAAAATAACCCCTGAAACTGGAAGGTGTTCAGGTACCATGGTGACAGGCACAGTTTGAGAACACAGAAGAGAAAACAGTCTTGCTTAAGGGCTTCAATTAGCTTCCAACCAAGATGATTACAACATTTCCTAGGGGGGCGAGGAATCCTTCAAAGAGAACCAAATCAAAACACCCAGCTGCATGGACGTCCTGGCTCTGAACTGTGTCTGACATCTTCTGCGCAGGGCTCTGCTCCCTGGCCACCCCAGCAGCACCCTCTCCAGCACAAGTGAAGTGCGGTGCAATTCCCTCTCACAGCATGGCTCTCCAGTGAGGTGACAGGCTTGTCCTGCCTCGTCTCTGCTGGGGGACGCTGCTTCGGCAGCAGGTGCTGGCCTGCCTTAGCCGAGGGGACAGGGCTCTGCTCTCTCAAAGCAAACAGCATTTTCTTCCCACTGCGTTTTTTTCCACATCACTTCATGCATTTTAGAAACTTTCCGGAGGCCTCTAGCATTTTCACGCATGTTTTGCGGGGAGGAAAGCGAAGAACGAAGGGTGAGGTGGCCCACACAACGAACACGCTTCATCACAGGCTCTGTCGCTTGGGACCGGAGCCCACCTCGCTGCTGTGCCCTGCAGGGACAACTCCCTCAGCCAAGAGCCACAGCACAACAGCCTACACCACCTAAAACTGAATCACCATTTAAAAGGCTTATTAACTTCCAGCTGCGTTCAGCCTAATTTCCTTTGTGTAACAGTGTGTTTAATTGGAGAGATTCTAATTTACTGTTGCAGAGCACAAGCCCAACTCTAAGGATAAATTAAAATGACAGCTCCATGGGAAGTTCGGAATTTAACTTTCTGACTTATCTGATTTGATGCAGATACAAATATTTAAATCCAGCCAAGGAAACAAACAGCCTGTTTCTAAGATGTTCCAGCTGGAATGGGGAAAAAGGATTTTGCAGGAAGAGAGGCTGCAACAATTAGTGCACTGTCATACTCCTTGCGGGCACAGATCAGCTAAGCAGAGCTTCAGGGCCAGCACGCTGCACTCCTCCTCTGCAAGACTCATTTGGGTTTGGTTTTTCGGTGTTTTTTTCCCCTTTAGTGAAAAAATACTTTGCTATATTGAGAATAAGAGGTTTTACCTTTAAGTCTCCTTTGTACAATTTCCCTGTTCTTTTCAAGGGAGAGAGGTAAGTACCAAGCCTGTTGAGTGAAACATACTGCGTCTGGTGTGCGATTTCTGCCAAGAAGGCAATGTTTCTTTTGTTTTTTCCTGTAATCATGACCAACTCTGTGCTCCTGTCTGCAGATTAGGCCAGGATTCATCTCACCCTGCCTGAGCTGGTAAGAGGTGTCCCAGCCCAGGCCACAGTCCCAGCTATGCTCTCTGTAACCCCTGGGGAGAGGTGAGCGTCATCTGCAGGCGGTTCATCCCATCCCCACACTGATGCACGTTATTTTTGTTGAGACAGATTGAAGCTAAATTCAAACTGAATTTAAAAAAACAAAAAAAAAAAAGACAATTCATTTTTGATTTTGAACTCTGAAAATTCAAATCAGATTTCTAATAATCTGTTTTTTTCAGGCAAATAAACAGAGCGCTCAAATTTTTACTGCAACCGCATCCCGTGATTCAGGCGCAGACCCACGGCGAAGCTGCTGCCAAGGAAAACACTCTGCTTTTGGGATACTCCCTGCCGCCTGCGAGCTCGAGCGAGCAGCCGCCAGAGACGCCGCCCCGCAAGAGGAGGAGAAGGCGAGGTGCTGCAAGCAGTGGAAGCTGTGCCAGCGAGGAGGTTACACAAGCGGCACAGCCGTGCCGTGTCCACCGCCTGCAGGGCAGCAAGCTGGCCCCGCTACCGGTTCTGGGTCAGGCACGGCCGCGCAGCCCGCCGGCCGCCCCGGGTGGGCAGTCCTGCCATGCGGGGGCTGGCGCTCACCATGTGCTCGCTGCACACATGGAGGTGGACGCTGGCACAGGAGCTCCTGGACAGAGGGGAGGCTGGGCAGCCGGGATGGGCCCAAGGTCGCCATGACCTTCACCGCCATGGCGGGTTGACAC